GAAAACAATTTTTTTTTTAACTTACATTGAATCATCTATTCCGGGCCCATATAACAGCTCTTCCGCCGACATTGCCGATTCCAAAATATCAATTCCAAAATATCAATCTTCCCTCACGGGTGCTTTCGGCCGCGCGCTTCTCTGCCTGCAAAATCCGGGCTCTGTCCGTTTTTTCCACGTATGCGTGTGCATTATGGCTACAATTTACTCCGATAGAGTTGAAAAAAAATAAAAGTGACTTCGATCCTTCATTGAACAATCCAGCTGCAATGTAAGCTGACAGGTTTACAATAATCGCTCCATTTGATACGATCTTCGGGCTTATTTTCCAAATTAGTTGATTGAAACTTTCATTATTATTTTGATTGAAGCCACCAACACATCTGATATTCCACACTGCTGTCTTCAGACACAATCAGTTCATTATTGTTTTTCAACTTCTTCGCAGATGTGCTGAAAGACTCACTAGATGACTCAGTAAGATTCGGGTTAAAAACGTTTTTTCGTTTTCTTGTTCGCGATTTTCTTAATCCTTCTTCCCTTCTTAATCCTTGCGAACCTTTTTTTCGATTCATATTTCGATAAAAAGAATAATAACTTCACTTATAATATATACGGCGCAATTTTATACTTTTCGAGTCGTCGAAAACCGTCGAACGTTCGAGCTCAACTGACGAATTCAAACTACAAAAGGTAGTGAAAATTCGTTTCTGGAATGTCACGTGTTAGTTGAATGCCAGGTATATGACCTGGTATACGACCTGGTATACGACTCTTTTTGCAAAACAATGGATAGAAACCGGAGAGAGGGGCCGAACGCGGCAGGCGGCAGTGTTGCCAGTCATCTGCGTAACACACGCTTCTCTTTCAAAGCCAATATCTCATTCAATTTTATTCGGATCGACTTCAAATTTTGAGGACATATTTTTAAATAGTTATACTTCAAAAAAATGCAAAAAAAATTCGATTTTTTGAAAGTCACAAGTGGTGTGATCCCCTTAAATGATTCCCTCCTGTCAAGGGAAATGAAAGTCAGACGCCCCTGAAGCAGAGGGGAAGGAGGTGGAGTGAAACTCACTTCGCGTGGAAGTCGCGCGCCCCTAAGCAAGAGGGGAAGGTGGGATGGAAATCGCGCGTCCCTAAGCAGAGGAGAGGAGGTAGAGGGAAAGTCGCTTCGCGTGGAAAGTCGTGTGATACAGAAAATAATGAAATTTTGAAAATGAGTTTTATATGAATATATCTCGAAAACTATAAGAGACCGCCGATTAATTTATAAGGAAAAGTCGATCAGTACGCTCACCTCTATAACGTATATCAAGGTCAAGATCATCGAAGAGGTCCCCTAATATAAAGGAATACCATAAAATTTTTTTAAACGATTTCCTTAAAAAATGTAATGGAAATGTCATTTAAAAAAATTTTCTCAGAGTAAAAACGTTACAATTTTAATACCTACAAAACAGCAGGATCTGCTTAATTTCTGCCGTCAGTCTGCCGTCAAATTGTGTTGTGCAGATCCTGCTCAGTTTCTATTGCTAATCTGCTGGCATAGAACGTCAACAAGTGTTCTGTTCAATTTTTGTTATCAATCTGCTGATATAGAATGTTTAACAGGTATTGTTGACAAAACGAAAGCAGAATGCGACCTCAGATGAGGTCAATCTGCTGACATTCCCTGATTTGCTGTCAGTCTGCTATCAGTCTGCTGACATTCTGCTAACATTTTTCTGCTTACTGGGTACATAGATTGAGATAAGATCTTAGTTTTTCGTAGATATATATAGTTGGACGTAGAGTAGCGTTGTTTGTTTGAAAAACCAAGAAGGCTTTTAGCGTTTCTTCCGCCCTTAAAAAACGCCACTCTATGTCCCACTACGAATATCTATGAAAAACTAAGGATTTCTGAGATAAACAAATCTCACTCTACATCCCACTACGAATATATCTATGAAAAATTAAGAATTTCTAAGATCTTGTCTCAATTTATGTAGTTTTCTGTATTTTTTCGTAAAATTTTTTTCCGCTGGGGCAAGAAAAACCATTTTGCATTCGAAAACTATAAAACTTTAAAATCAATAATAATAAAATCGAAGGGTTACGAGCCAAAAATTTAAACTTTAATATTCAACGACAAATACAAACATATGTTTCGACACCGATCGGGTCATTATCAATGTAATAAATATAAATATAAAAACAAATTTTAAACGAGTAACATACTTTGGCGATTTTAAAAAAAATAGAAATGATTGGAAATGCTGTCTATTCGTCGATAATACATAATATTCAAGTATTCTGTCTCATGTGCAACGTTAATTATCCGAAAATATTAGTCATGTGCGGAATTTTCTGTTTAATTCATGTCTGATGGGAATCATAATTCTGTTAATGACATAAATTATGATTAAAATTAAAAAATAAAAATTTTTTTCTCAAAATTACAGAAAGACAAAATAAGTATAAAGTTATACATTAATCATAATTAAGATATAAAAATACACTGATGTATAAAAAACTATGTATATTATTGTGTTTCGGTCACAAACGAAATGCAAGATTATACATAAAGTAAAAGAATATTTACCTAAAAGTAAGTCAAGATTGAGCTGTACTAAGTCCTCATTAGAAAAATATGGTTGCGATTACATAGTCAGTTAATAAAAAGAAGACGACTCAGGCAAAAATATGTTAGAGTTATGAGACAAATTGATGTGACATACAAGAATAGACGTTAAGTATTAAAATGATGGAGAAAAAGGAAGAAGGTTGTATGTAAAATGAGAAGGAAGGGGGACAGGGTCGGCGAAGTAAATTTTTTCTATGTATGGAGTTTCGGTTGGAGTAGGAAGACAAGGGGTGACATTAATATTTTAGATTGTTCTTTCATGTATATTTTTTCATATATTTTATTTTCATGTTTTATAAAGCAAATGTTACTGTTCTCATTTTGTTTTTAGTTATAAAATCGTTCATTAGTAATTCTAAATCTAAATTTTTGGCAATATCCTGGTATATGTGTAAAATTGCTATATTACAATATTTAAACGTTTTTGTAACATTATCACTCGAAGAAAAGTTTTTAGACGCCTAAGGGCGGAAAATGACCTTTCATTAGAACACGACGAATCTGGAATTGTTAATAATATTTTAATTAATTTAGTGAAATCGGATACGAGACTTCGAATTTCCGTGTGAATTAGGCATAATGCCGGCTGCACACCAGCGCGATATTCATCGCGCGCGATACGCGATATCCAATGAGCATATAGTTTTAGAATGAGAATATTGGTAAAGCTGTACGCTCATTGGATATCGCGTCGCGCGCGACAAACATCGCGCTGGTGTGTAGCCAGCATAACATTTCGTCCTTGTTTGGGCAGCCATATTAGAATATATGTGCATGAGCCATATATGATGTGCGTGTATATATGTGCACGCGCGTGTTCAGTTATGTTGGGTTGAGTACGTGTAGCTTGCGTCATCCGATGTTTCATCACTGAACTATCAGGATATTACGCCTAAAATCGGGATTGCATTTATGCATGCACTATGAATGAAGCCTTCCATTCTTGTTCTCACTATTACTTCTGACGAGATATGGAAATCCACCTTGTCCATGTATGGAATTCCATAGCTTAGAAATGTGTATGTGTGGAGTGCTCCAGATCGACCCTACTGAAGTCGCCGGTCCTGAAAGGGGGTAAGGTTAGGAAGGGGAAAGACAATGACTGAGAGAGAGGGAGGAATAAGAAAAGAATTACATGGGGAAGAGTGACTGTATGATTTGGAGATAAGATTCTGGTAAGGATTCCGTTTCCACTTGCTTATTTAGACCTTGCTTTTGTCTTTTAATGTGAACCATCTCTGAATCAATCTTTTATTATATGAGGATTCATTGTCTAATATTTTAATATCTTTACAATTAAAATTGTGATTATAATTGACACGATGATCGGTGACAACTGTTGGAGAGCCTGTTTTTTTATTAATGTCAGAGATGTGTTCATGCAATCTCGTTTTCAATTTTCTTTTGGTTTGGCCCACATAACTTGCTTCGCAATCATTACATGAAATTTTATAAACTACATTTTGGTTGGATAGTAATTCGAGTTGATCTTTTCCTTTTTTTTATTAAACTTTTTAAAGTGTTAGGGATAGTATTTGCTAGTTTACATCTAAATCTCATTGAAATAGGCAAGAAACTTTCAAAGATTGTTTTTACATACGGAATAATAAAGAATTTATCTTTGATATGTGTGTGTGCAAATTAATATGTACTTCCTTAGATTTGTTTATGTGATATTTTATTATTTTTTCCATGGTAGAAAAAATGAACTAGATTGGATACCCATTATTTAAGAAAATGTTGACTGCATTGATTAAATTTTTTTGGTGGAAACGGGGATAATAGGATTATTTTTTATCGACCATACCAATAATCACGCCCCTTTTGTGGCATAATGGGTGATGTGAATAGAAATTAAGAAATCTACCAGAAAAGGTTGTTTTATGATATCTATCAAAAACGATCTTTTGATTCTCAATAATAATCAAGGTATTTAAAAAACTTAATCTTCCCTCATTGCCAACTTCCATCGTGAACTGTAATCTCTCATGGAAGGAATTAAAAATGTTCAAAATATCGTCAATACTATCCAATGGTGCTGCTAAAATGACATCATTATTTAAAATATCAATTCATCCATTTTACATTTAAAATGGATTTGAAAAACCTATTTTGCATTTTGCATTTTAAATAGATACGCGATTATATACTTTTTTAAAGTATTTTACAATTAGTATTTTAAATGCAATTCGAAAGGCATTTTACCCAGCTCTGCGTAAGCACTAGCCAATCCAACACTTCATTACTGCTTACATCTTACTACCTTAAGTTTCTATATGTCACGACTCTAATTGTGTCTAGTAGTAGGTATCGGATCTTACAAGAGATGAAGCTGCGATATGTTAACTCCATTATTATTTATAATAGAAATTACCTCAAGCGCCTGAACAATTGCTTCCGCATCTGCTTGAATTGCCGATATTGCCTCGTTCTTGGTCGTGTTTGGACGCATTGTGATTCCGCTTTCGTCTATAGTATCTTCATCGACATGGATATTTAAGGCTTGGAATTGTTGCGCAAACATTCCAGGATGAACTCTAATAATCTGACTGTCATTCAATTGGCTGATAAAATGTCCCTGTGAGAGAAGCTGTCGAGTCTCTTGAATGGACAATGGAATTGGATTTCCGTATTCATCTGTGATCTGAAAGTAATAATAGATTCTACAAATAATTCAAATTAGACTCTAATGAATAAATCAATAAAATAAAAAAAAGTATTTTAGAGCCAACACAGGTTGTTGGCGTGTAAAAATATATACTTTATTAAAAAAAAGATAAATATATATATGTTTCGAGTCTATTTTGGATCCTTTTCAGTATAACCTTAATATTAATCTTCACAGGAGAAATAACATAACCGCAGTTTTACTAATAAACTTTTAATGATATGAGCGCAATGTCGAGCACGATACGGTCGGCACACGATGATGCTGTCGGCGCGCGTAATACAATACCACGGAGATAAAAAGGAAGCGAATAAATGCGAAGACAAAGTAATTTTATTTTATACATTTATTTTTCATGTAATGCATTATATACAATATTCTCTAAAGCGTACACTATTAATTTACATTCAAATATTTGAGTTTTTATCGTAAATAGTACACAAAGTATTTGCCGCTTCAAATATTAGTGATGCAATTTTGCTCTAAATAAGTTACAAAATATTTAAATTTTTCGCTTACGCTATTTGTATATTGACACAAATCGAAATATACATGATCGACACATTGTTCGAGCTTAAACATAAATGGTTGATGTATAAACATGTATCACATAATGATAATTTCACGTTATCCACATCGCGTATTTTAATTAGTTCAATCACAAGATCTCAAACCATTCGATGACGATGGGACATGTCAATGACTGTCAATGTCTGCCCGTTTTTCGATGAATGCCGTCCGCATTGTGCGCATGTAGCATGAGGCAGGACGATGCGATTACTTCGGTTGTCGCCAATTTCTACATGGGATATAAGTCCCACAACGATTTCGATCCAGGTATTTGTACACCATCGGTATCAATGCAAATCTTCTTTCCATTATTGACCATTGGTGCAGCTGATACCGAGATCTGGAGATCGTGTCCCGAAAAAGGACTATTTCAGCTTTTCAAATTTTTTCAGTCGTACGTGCGACATATATGTGTAATATATTATACATATAAAGCGTTTTGTCCATTAAGCTGCTATTCACAATGCCTTCATACAATTTTAATTTTAAAATATAAAATTAATATAAAATTAATATAAAATTAGGAACGAAAATGAACTTTGATGTGCATGCGGATGTAATTTATCAAAAGAACTAAGAAAGAACATGGGTAATAGGAGTCAAACGCGGAAGACGTTGCGCAAATAATACGACTATAAAGCGTAAAACTTCTTTATTTTATTAAACGCGCTTACATATTTCGGCTCATTTTTGAGCCTTCTTCAAAGACAACATATATAACTCACATATATAAAATATAACAAATATTAACTTGTCATGGTGACTCCCCCATATCGAGAATATAAATGCCAGAATTAAACTCAGATAAGAATGAAATAAAGAAAAAAGAAAAGAAATTTTGGAAATCTCGAAATAAAGAAAATGAAAAATTAATGTATCAGAAAATTTTGAAATTATAATTGATTATCCCGAAAGTTAGAAAGCTCACCATGGTCACAAGGCATCATATCGCAAACATTACTACTAATAATTAAAAAACCGTTTCTGATATGTTGGCCAGTCAGTATCAGACACAGTGAGTCACTGTTTAGATTTAGTTGGTCTTTATTGAGATAGCAATTAGAAAACTAACGTTAAAAACAATAATAAGATTGAAAGACCGCTAATGTTAAACATAATGCTTTAAATTAAGAAGCGCCATAATGGTCAGAACGTTAAGATGTTGAACTATTGTAAATTCATTTAAATGAATTAATTTCAGAAATGATAATTGCGTGCCGATATGGTTGTCGGACTTTCAACGCAATCAAATCTGAAAATATTAATAATTCCCCCAAATTTCCCAACTTAAAAACTGTAATAAACTTATTGCGAAAAATAATGCCTCGGCTCTTCTTAATTTAAAGCATTATGTTTAACATTAGCGGTCTTTCAATCTTATTATTGTTTATACACGCGCGCCGAGAAATGCGTAACTCTCTATACATATCAATTATTGCGAAGAATAATGCTAAGGTCTCGGTAGTCTAAAGGCTTAGGACGCTCGCACGGAATGCAAGAGATCCGGGTTCGATTCCCGGCCGAGGCATTATTTTTCGCAATAAGTTTATTACAGTTTTTAAGTTGGGAAATTTGGGGGATTATTAATATTTTCAGATTTGATTGCGTTGAAAGTCCGATAACCATATCGGCACGCAATTATCATTTCTGAAATTAATTCATTTAAATGAATTTACAATAGTTCAACATCTTAACGTTCTGACCGTTTTGGCGCTTCTTAATTTAAAGCATTATGTTTAACGTTAAAAAGTTAATCAAATTCAAAAAGAGGAATTTTGAAAATAATTTAAAATCAACGCCAGAAAGACTTCTTCCTGTGTACGAGCGACTTTGACTGACTAGACGCGACAACAATTCGACCTTTTATAGCTTGTCGATGATCGGGAGGTAGGCCTTGAGAAGCCCCTCCATATCCGTCTGCATGTTAAGTCCGTGGGTCTGTCTCCTGATGAATATCATTTCCGAAGTCAGTCTCTTCCTGAAGTGAGGTTCCTCGTCCAGTATTGTAACGTTGTCCCAATCAAACTCATGGCTCTCTTGCAATCGATGCTCCGTTATGACGTTGCCGGTAGACGTGTTCCATCGAATATGGTTCTTGTGTTCCGTGACTCTTGTTTTTAGCTGTCTACACGTCTGTCCCACGTAACTCGCGTCACAGTCCTTACAAGAAATCTTGTAAACTACATTCGACTTATCACTACGCGGGATCCTTTTATACCCTAATGAATTCTCGCAATTTGTTAATGCTATAAAACGACATCCTCATATGACCGCTCTTTAATCTATTTAACTTCTCAGCCACGAACGAAAGGAACCGTGAACCACGAAGATTGCACTACATCAATGCTATTCTCCTTAACTACATTCTTCCTATTACTAGCCACAATAACGTTCTTCAACGATTACTAATTCTCAAATATAAAGTTCAATGGATAATCATTCCCTAACAATACCTTAATTATGAAACAAAAGTTACCAAAGTGAAATTTGGGATTCGAAAGCAGAACTACTCTATCAACTAATCCCGCGATTGTACCTATTTTTTGCGAAACCGGGTGCTGTGACCAAAAGTTCAAATATCTACCTGAAAAAGTCGGCTTGTGGTACCAATCGAACTCTATCGTCTCATTATCCCTAATCACTACAACATCCGAAAAATTTAATCTATCACCCCCCACTTCCATAGTAAACTGAAGCCGTGGATGCTGAGAATTAAAAATCTCAAGAATGGAACTAACCGAATAATCAGGAGCCGCCATGATTATATCATCAACATATCTATAATAAAAGGGCAATGAGAATCTAATCGAAGACAAAGCTCTACTCTCCAACCTTCGCATAACTAAATCCGCGATGACGAGAGACAACGGGGAGCCCATAGGCGTACCATAATTCTGGTTATAAGTAACACTATCAAAAACAAAGAAAGTAGAATCCAAAACAAAATGAACCGCTTTAATGAATTCCTCTTCCGAAAAAACAGCAATTTCTAGAGATAAAACGCCAATGGTCTTTGATACAGTCCATCGCATAGTCGATGGGAACGTTAATGAAGAGGCTAACGACATCCAATGACATTAACTGGAATTCATCACTAAGCTCTACCATCAAGTTCCTTAACAAGTTTGAAACTATTTTCAATATGACTATCCTCCTTAGGAATTGTTTTAATGATAATATTATGAAGAAACACTGCCAACGAATACTATTTATCGAAGAAACTATTATACGAAAGGAACAATCCTGCTTATGTATCTTCGGAAGAGGCCCTCAGAAGTATTCCATCATTGCATAACAAACCTCTATATGTGGATTCCGATATATACTTTTTTTCTTTCCAACTAATAAGGCACGTAAGTTCGTTACTATCCTCCTCGTCGGATCCCTTCTAACAACCTCATACGTATTCTCGTCCTGAAGCATCTCATTTATCTTGGAAATATATACCTGTCTATCTAATGCTACCGTCACACTACCGTTATCCGCACGAGTAAAGACAATCCTGTCATTCACATCCCTTAAAAAGGTCCTAGTGTCTTTCGCTAGTTGCAACAACCTCCTATCTATCTCCGTACGATGTAAGGGACAAGAAGCTAAGTTATTCAAAACCGAAAGGGAGTGGTTCGAGAATCGCGATCCGTTCATCAATAGATAATTTGTAAATATTACTTTCGATACATTTAATAAGGTCGACCGTTAACTCTAATCTATTGTTCGAAGATAAGGCAAAGTTATCTCCCAATTGTAAAAAGTTCTGTACGTGGGAGGTATGGAAACAGTTGACAGATTCACGAACCAGCCATTCCTTGGTGAGGAAAACGATGGAGGAGGAATCAATGGGAGAAAATTTTACGAAGATGTAATTTATGTACATAAGACAGACAAACGGAGAAGGCGAGAGAGTGAGTGAGTGAGTGAGTGAGTGAGTGAGAGAGAGAGAGAGAGAGAGAGAGAGCGCAAAAAGGAAAACAAGAGTGTAAAAGGGAAAACAAGAATATAAAAGAGAGAAAGTGAGAGAATGAGAAAAGGCGAGAGAAAGATTATAAATCTTAATATTAAATCCATCGTCAAAAATTTGTATTGGTGATAATATTCATAAAGTTAATAGTGCAATTCTCCATCATGGTAAAAATACAACCGAAGGACATTATACAAATTTATTGTATTTATTATATAAAGTTGAAGATACAAAATGAACATCCGTAAATGATTTAAAAGTTGAAATATGTAAGTGGCCTCGAAATGCTAAGAGCGCATTACAATATATTTTTCTTAGAACAAATCTAAACAATTAAATTATCAATAAATGAGTTAAAAATCAATACAATATGTGTGTGTGTGTGTGTGTGTGTGTGTTGTGTGACTTAATATTAAATAAATATAAACTTATAAAATAATGATTTTAGAAATAATCTGTATTCACACATTTTTAGGTTTAA